AAACTGCTGGTTAAAAAGATAAAAGTGAGATAACAGACATCAATTTTTCACTATAAATCTCTAGGTTTACTACAACATTAAAATTTCCAGTAAAAGCAGGGTTTTATATACCTGAACTCTAATGGCCTATTCTGAAAATATTTATGTCAGGAAAAGCATGGTATTTGCATGCCAAAAGCATTTTTAGTGCCAATGTTTAGCATTCCCTTCCCATTTAACTCCTTCCCATCTACTCATGAGTGCTAGCTGCTCTGCCTAGTGCCTACCTGTCACATCTCCTCATGCAGCCTCCTGGAAGAGAACACTCTGGGTGCATACAAAGGCAAAAAGTCAAACCCTTCTAATTAAATAGCCACTGCATAAAACACTTGCCTGATGGCTCAGGATGGAGTCTCTAGCATAGTCTGAAAACCATGATTTTACCTCCACACTTTGTATGTGAAACTACTGCTAACCAAAGCAAAAGACAGGGATGGAAGAACAGGAAACTGGGCAACACAACACAACAGCTCAGAAGTAACAGGTCAGAACTACGTCATTAGATGAGGTTTCTGGAGGTATGAGTAGTACTCCATTAGATTTATTTTAAAATCAAAGCATGATTCTGTGAGAACCAAATGTCTCACCCTCCACATACAGGCATTTTCATTCGGTGAGAAGGGAGGGCATTTGGCACCTATGGGTGCCATAAAGAGCCATCGGCAGCATTGACTGCAGAAGAGTATTGATTTCACCTGTTTATTTCAATAAAAATTAAACTTATTTAGGCAAATAATGCAGGCTAGCAGCCTGAAACTGCAGTGCATGGGACTCTCAGAGGTACAAAGCTTGATATTACTGCAGTTTTTGCAAACCGTAATTTCCCAAATTTAAGAAAGCTTTAGCAATTTTACCTGATTTTCAGCGAAGTATTGCTTTCTTCTCTGCTTCATACTAGCACATGTGAGCCACAGCTATTCAGGATAAGCCATAACATAAATCTAACTTCTCAGAACATAGCAAACATACAGAAACACTACAAGTCTCTACCTGCCTTATATCTCAGGGCTCTTAGGTATGGGGGTTTTGTTTGCTTGTTTATCTGTTTTTATGGAATAAAATTAGATTTCAGCATCTGTCACCATCAAGGAAAACTCATCCCTGGCTCCCACATGAGAACATCGTAACCACTGCAGAGCTACTGAACCATGGTACCTTAATGATCATTATACAAATCAACTTCTTTTTTTTTTTTAATAACAAAATTAAGAATTTGCTTCCATAAATACTCAAATCAGACTTTCAGGTTACAAATTTAATAAAAACCCAATATGATGAAATTGTTAAAGTAATACCACAAAATTTATGTGTGGATTCTTTTAATTTAGAGTCATTCAGGTGTGCTGATTAAGTTTTAGCAAATAACACTGTTGGCATTGCCACTCTGCCATTAGGAATCAACAACCGGCATGAAGAGACAAAACACTGGGTAAACCTTTCTGTCTTCCTTTTGTGTGCATTTTTGCAAAGCTTTCTTTTCAACATAATCTAAAAAAAAACCCATTCAGGCCTATTAGAAAGACAACCTACAATAAAAACACAAGATTTTCAACATGGACATTAGGTTCTTTGCCAATTAAAGTTCTAAAACTTCCTGAAGATATGATGTATTCCAGGAATTTGAATTGTAGTATCTTCCTTAGCTTCTCAGTATAATCATAGTAACCTTTGAAGTGTATATTTTGAATGTAACAAATTTTTAATTTATTCTGTAGATAATATATTGATCCTTAAAAACATAGAAACTTAAAAAATATACAGAATGTATGCATTCCTGTATGGGAAAAGAACTCAACAATTTAAAGAATGTGCTTTAAAGAAAGCTGTGTCCCGAAACCCATTCAAACCCACATACCAGACAGGCCCTTTCCTTTGGGAACACCAACAAGCTGCCAGCAAAGTGCACCATGAAACTTCAAGCAGGCAAATCATCCCCCACCTGAGTCAGCAAATGAACTCTCTTAACAGTGCTGCAACCTCGGTCTGATCCCAGGACCTCGGCCACAGCAGGTCCCAGCACCCAGCTGCTCTGTTCAGCATCAGGTCTACAGGCAGTTGGTCCTCCAGAACTCAGGAGGATTTAAAAATAAAATTGTTAATCAACACATTATTTTCTAATATCTTTCCTCCAGACTTTTCACTGTAATGAAGTGATTATCCCAGGATTTCCAGTTCTACTCTTGCCAAAGGCACTGACACAGTGCTAGGGAAGATGCTCGTTTTTTACCTTGGCGCTACCCAAATAGAAACTCCTGTAGTGCATCATTTAGTAGCAATTCTGTACAAAGTGCTCTAGTCAGCAGAACATTATCTGCAGTCTCCTGGCTCAGGCAAGCCCAGCCACCTTGCAGATGCTGGCTGCTTAGACATCCAATCTAATGTTGCCCCAAATCAGTTTATTAATTAAAAAAAAAAAAAAAAAAAAAAAAAAAAGGCAAGGCCTTCCAGGCCTTTGTCCCCTCACAGAGCTGGTTTAGGTCACATATGGTTCTACAACACAACTCCAGACTGGACTCAGAAATTAATTTTTTTTATATACAAAATGAGATAAAATCAGCAACGTTCAATTTTAGCAATTTTTAAAAACAAAAATGTTAATCAACACATCATTTTCTAATATGTGTCCTTCAGACTTTTCACTCTAACTTGGGTTATTTCACAATTTCCAGTTCTGAGTATGGAATCAATATCTCCAAATTGAAAAAAATATCAGAAAGAGATCTCTCTCAAGAGAGGTTCTCTTAGAGAATATGTTTGAACAAGCCTCTTTTATGTGCAAAGGAGACTTTTTTTGGCCCCAAGAAATGTTTACTTGTACCACTGAAGAGCTCCAATGAGGAATATTTTACAATACATTCACCTCCTTTAGTATATGTGGCAGTGGTACAGATTCAAAGATTATTAATTGGGTTACTAGCAGTCTGCTAGTTCAAGAAGACACAGCACGTCCTAGTCTACCTAGGAGGTTACTTCTGCAAAGCAGCTTTCTAGTACAAATGACACTCTATCTAACTATAGTCCTGAAAGCTTGCTAGACACATAAATTAACATTGCTGAAATTGGTGAGAAAAATAATCCCTGAGAACACAGGTATAATCACCAGAGTAAAATGGAAAAGAACTATGTGTCTGGTGTTGTTTTCTGTACTTGGTAGCAAAGTTTGTACAAGAATCTAAATTTTATACCAATGCTCAAATAAACCTGCACTGCATCCTCTGAAAGCTTTCAAGCTTCATTTTGGTTTCCTGTCCCTTTGAAAGTCAGCACTGAAAGAGCTGACCCACCTAGAAAATTTTAAGGCTTTGCACTTAAATAAATACACTATTGCACAAATCAGATCAGAACAAAATTATGTGGGCTGACAGACCTTAGCTTTACGGAAGACTGCAGTGGAAAGGGGAAGGTGCAGAAAACGGACAGTGCTCTAACCCCAAGTTTTGACATGTAAATAAAGACATCTGAGGAGCACACAGGTTGGAAGCTGCTGTAACATTCTATCATAATTAGAAACATTTCAAGAGCTCTGTAATTTCCAATCAAAATTACAGTAATTTCCGATATACAAGCCATGATTCATGAGAGAATTTTTACATTCCATGGGAGATTATAGTGGCCTGATGTATGACACACTGAGTACAGCACTAACATAAACAATTCAGTTTAATGTTTAAACAGCACTTGGTGTTTAGAATCCCACAATAAAAGAAACATATTATTGTTGAAATTATCACTTTGACAGTGATTGAAGGGTAGGCAGGCATGTGGCCTATAAAGCTATAATTTTTACAGTCCACAGCTTGAGTTTAATCATTTTGATACAACATTTCCAAAATATCCCTTTAAATGCTCCTTACACCATATAAGTTAAGAGACAACATCCTTTCTGTACAATGAAGTGCACTCCAAAATGTGAACAGCACAGAAGTCAAAAGTTAAAGCCCTGTTAAAAAGAAAACCAGCGCTAAAATGCTGATGGCCCAAGAAACATCAGTCTAACTGAGCTTCACTAGCTTTCCCTGGAAGATGATGAATTTTTCTATGAAGTTGCTTTACAAAAATAAAGAAGTAGTGATTAAGTGGATTCAACCCTTAATCTAATACGAAAATTCAACATTTGATTTCTTTCAAGTTTTTGTATAACTATAGTCTTTCTCATTGTTCTATATGTTTTTCCTTTACTTCTTGAGTACATTTCTCACTTAAATCAATGCATTTGCATACTCCAGTGATGTTTCTCAGAAGACATGTCATTTATGATAATCACACCCAACAAGTGCTTGCTGATTTCCCTCTTGCCACTAAACTTAACAGAAAATCTTCAGTTAAAGAAAACAGAATAGGAAACCACAAAACAAAGGCTTAAAACTGAATATGCAACATATATGTATCATGCAAGCAGGTAACCAAGCAGACATTGTGTTCCACAAAATTATACATATTTTCTCAGCTATAACTTGTACTACTGCAATTTTTTGGGGGTCTTTTTTTTTTTTCTTTTTTTGACAGTCCACTCCCATGCACAGTCTCACCAGTGGGTCTGACTAATTTATTTTTTTTTTGCAAAAAACCAGCACCCCAGCATTCCTCACTGCAGCACATGTAATTGCAAAACAACAAAGCCTCAAGATGAATTTGGCAGCAATACCCAGATCGTGACCACAGCTTTTGCCACATCCACACCAGCTAAGAACTGATGAACCTGATGCCTCCTGCTCCACCAAGATCCATGGGCACACAGGAAAGGTGTCTGGCTGGTGGGGAAAAGGGAGTGAGACATCTCAGGAAGCTGCTTCTCTACCCTGTCTGGAGAACCAGAAGTTACCTCCAGACTCAGCAAAGAGCTCTGAGTTGTTGTACTGGGCTGGTACACCGACCCAGCTACCCATTTTAAATCACATAGAACCTGATCTGGGGGAATAATTGCACAGGACATGGAGCTCTTTGAGCCCTGGGAATTTTACCTGGCTTTTGGTTGCCGCAACCTTCGCAAAGAGTGCTTGGGACACCTTAGCTCTCTTCATTTCCTGCTGAATCTCATCATAAATGGAAGCATTAATGTTCATGGAATTGTTTTCGGGTTTTCCATTCCTCTCTGTAGCAATAGTAGCAGTTTTGACCTAGAAAATATGAGACGTTTTTCATTATGAAAAAGTTATTTTCCTCTCTTTCCCTCCCTAAGTAGTTTCCCTTTGCATTTTATTCCTTTTATCCAATCATTTTCTGATATTCTTTCGGCATTTTGCAGAATAAACATTATAAGTTATCTATGGTTCCAGCAATTGGGAAACAGGAATATTCAGTGCATTGTAACAGGTGAGTGCATCTGAAATATGAGTTACCATTAACAGACCACTGCAAATTTCAATGTCATAAATTAGGTGGAAACCTGTCAAACAGTCTTGTAGAGACCTGTGAATCCTTACATGATTTCTTTGCCGCACACAAATAAATAAAAACTGTAAGTGCAACATAAAAGAATCTCTAATGAAATAGAAATCTGACAGATATATCTTGATTCATGTCTTATGCCCAGTACACTCAAATGCATGATAATGTTGAAAAGTTGTGGCTTTAGATTGAATTTTAAAAAAATTATCCTATCAGTTTGATTCTTAAGCTGTGTTTTAGAGACTGTTTAGAATAATGCATAGTTTAACCACTCCTTCATGAAACCAAGATAGGACTTTCTTAAAGCTACTGATTCTAGTTGTATTTCACTTACATACATCAAATATTTATTCTTCTTGCAGTCCAGATTAAATAAACACCAAACATGTAAACAAGACAGAATGATTACAGTACCACCTTTATGCTGCATCTGCAGCATTAAGGAAAACAACAAAAAAATACATCAGTAGCGACATGATGTGCAGGAGACTATCCTTTCCTTCATCCTCTGGAAATGATGGAAGTGATGTTTCAACACCAAGAATCATCCCACCAAGGTTAGACTGCAGTTTCTGCAATATCAGTTGAGAGGTACAAAAAATCAGCAGGTACTCAGCTTATCCTACAATATTCTCAGTAGTTAAGGACAACGTCTGTCTTTAGCAGTTACTCTTGCAAGGCTTGCTCAAGATTAGTGGACCTAATGGGCCACTAATCCTAAAGTGGATCAGAGGAATAGAAAACTGGACTTCTGCCAAGAACCCACAAGGAGATGATGCAAACAAAATCAAACCTTAAGATGTCAATTCAAACATACTGATTCATAGTCGGGTTATTGAGACCTGAATTAATTTGGTTATTCTGAAGTTACACAGCTAGTTTATCACAGCCATTCAGCTTAATTCTAGGTGTAATGGACAGAGCCTGGAACTTCCAGAAGGTGATTCAGCCTACTCTCAAGTACATGTCTAAACCCACACTTTCACTATCAGTTTGATCCAGTGCAAGTCAGCATCTTCCTGTGCTCTGAAGTCCCTTGAGGTGCAAAAGGAAATCATGACAACATGATAATTCATCTTCTAATCTCACTCTCTATGAGCTTTCATATGTCACAGGTCTCACAATATGGGAGTCGAAGGCTTTGGATGAGAGATGTACTTAGGCAAATCAGCAGACCATTTTTTCCTAGAAATGCCATGCTCAGTTTGTGTTAGCTATCATCCATAGTGCTTTTAATATAAAATAATCTAGCCCAGAAACTGGGAGTGCTTTTGCTGAATGCGATTTGTCCATCAGGCTTTTCAGGAGCTGTGCTAACACATGCCCATGAACTACAAGGGCAAAACTTGAGAAGAACAAGGTGTCCACAAGCACTTTGCCCCTCGCATCCCCCTTGCCCCCATTCTGGCAGGCATTAGCACTTTCTGGTGTCTAAAAACAAAGGTTCTAAGTAAAAAGGGAAATGGAGAAAAATCCCAGAATATGGCATACAGTTAATCATGAGATTTTTTTTTTTAATCTGAAAACAATTAGTACTTTACAGCCATGCCCTTTTCTGCAGTGTGAGATTTTACCAGCAACATTGCAGAAGAGGATGCCCAAGCCTGGACCAAAGGCTGCTCAGAAACATTTGAGGCACCTGGCAGCAGGGAATAAGGTTCAGCACCACAAAACTCTTTCCTTCACACTGCAGAGCAGGAAAAGGTATGCCTCACACCAGACAAATCAGTACAGGGATGCAAGAGCAGGTGAATCTCCTGAACATCATACAGTGAAATAATTTAAAAATACAAAATCAGTGGCAATTTTAAATAAGAAGGGCATGCCAGAAGATAACTGACAACCAGTGGGGATGTTAAACATACAACTGAAAATAGGCTTATTTCTGTATATGTAAAAATCAGCCTAAGCTAAATTAGATAATGAAGAAGTGATGGCTTTGTCAACATGCCTTCTTGAACCTTGGGTTTGAATTTTGGGAAACAAATTTCAGTCCTTCTCCCCAAAAATAATTTTAACTTGTAACTAATCTTTGAAGGACCCAAGGGGAAAATGAGAAGATTAAGGTATTCAGTTAGCATACACAAGTCTTTTGGGAAGGAAACACTTTGCTCTTGTGATCTTGATCACAATGTGTCTCTTCTATAAGCACACAGCCTTTTTGATTGCTACTGAGCTTCAAAGGACAGCTTCATGTTGTAGCAGTACTTCACAGATCACTTAACTGAGCTGTGAATAGGCAGACCATCAAAAACAATCACACACCATGCTGTAGACATAATTTAAACTATCCTACTCTGTCCACACTTCTCAATGTCCAATTTAACATGGATATGCATTTAACCCAAGGGAATTACTGAAAATCCTTATTCTGGTTTGCAAATCACATCTGTCTTTATACAGGTACAATAAATTCAACAGCATTTAATATGTCATCAAAGTTAAAACAAACAAACAAACTCCTATTGTCTTCTGTTGATATTTAATTAGGGAACACTAATTGAATTCAGAAAACACTAATATCTGAATCAAAAAGCAGTATTAGCCCAAAGATCTTCAGGGGAATAAAGTCTTAAAGTTATAAAATTATGGGTTGGGGGATTACCAAGAGTTGTGATTTGCAGTCATACCCTCTCCCTCTCCAATTCCCTTCACTGGCAAAGTATAAAAATTCTTCTCCTCTGTCTTAATAATTTCTCTTCAAAGAACAAGTGTAGACTCTGGCTGGTCTAGATGGACTATTGGTCTGTTCTGGTCTGATGAACTCCATGCAATAATGACAATTAATCTCTTGGAGAATATCCATACATATAACTGTTTCATAATTAATACATAAGCAGCATCTAGGCTGTTGTGTTGAATTTAGAATTGAGTTCAAGACAGAGGCTTTTTGAAGCTGGGTTGAAAAAACACCCTCCTCCTCAAAAAGCCCAACAGAAAACAAAAAAGCTCTCAATGGTGCAACTTCAGGACTTGGGAGAGTAGGTGGAAAAAGTATTGATTTTGGAGAGAAAAACAAAACAAAACATAATCTCTCATCTCATCCACACTGAAGCACAACCTCCCACCCCACCCACATCTACAGCCACATTTTCTGTTTAGGAAAGAAACCATAGATCAGCTAATTTTAATTTTCTTTTTTTTTTTTTTTTTTTGACAGTAACCAAATTTTGCAAATACTAACTGAAGAGGGGAGCATTATTTTACAAATGTAACACACTGAGAATCAGGAATTCATTTGGCCAACTTCCTATCACCAATCAATCTAGTCTTCTAAGAATACTTGAAAAAAAATAACATCCATCTCCTGGCCTACCCAGATATATCTCCTCATCAAGTAAGACTGATTACAGCAGCAAGAAGTTCTGGATTAATTCAATTTTCCTAAAAAAAGAGTAAGTTGTCATAGAAGGAATAACCAGCACGAAGAGGTTTTCACAAACATGGTAGCTCATTCCTTCCCCATCAAAACTGAAACAAAAAAATCTTATATAACACATTCTCATAACTACTGTTTTAGCTTGGGAACAAAAATCTTCTTTAATCCTGGTTTAGCTTTTAATATTACATTGTACATTAAAATTCATAAAGTAGTTCATTCCAGGCAAAACAAACTACTTTTCAGTTCTGCTCTGCAAATAGCAGAGGAGGTACAATAAATGCTGTTGCTTTCAGAACAGCTTTTATCAGGACAAGGTTTACTACTCCATTATTACAGTGGCGCCTGGAAGTGCAGTTATAGTTAAGTGTCAGGGTTTCCATTAACTCCCCTCCATGGTGGTTTTTGTGGGGGTGGGAGGAGAGGACTGCATTTATTATTTTGTTCATTTTACTTTCGTTAAAATGCAACTTGGCACAAAGATTATCAACTTAAATCTAAAATTTTGCCAACGTAAAAATTATGCTGGTGGTGATACATGGCACATGCATATGGGACTAGGACTTCACCACAAAGTTTCAAGGAAGCTGGTGTTATCCAGAACTCCTTGCAATGGAGATTCACTGGTCCTCAAACACCATCAAAGCAGTGCTCTCCTAGATATCATTCTTTCAAGAGTAACGTCCTATCTCTGAGACCCAACCCACGATTGCTTTAACTTGAAGGAACTGTAGTTTATCTGCAGTTAGAGAGGCCAGGACTGTATTTATGAGATGAAGGTTTTGATCAATGAGTACCTAGAACCATGAATCATGCAAGATTTTGGCTATTTCTTAAAAAATTGCCTTGTTAAAATAATATTCTGCTCTTGACATTACATGTACTCTATTTTTACGCAGGATGATGATGGGCACCAAGGGTTAACACAAATTTTCTTTGGGGAATATGGGTGGCAAGAAAGATTTCTTCCTTGGCTCAGCGGAAATGGAGATTACTTGTCCTGAGAAAGAAGTGTTTGTATCTGCAGGATGGCTAAAAACCTTTAAGTAGAATATTTTGGAAAAGAAAATCTGTAACTTGGCCACCTGTCTCTATCCTCCCCAACAGAGGAAGGGGGGAGTCATCTTCCCTCCACATCCCAAACTGCCCTGATGAGACATAAAGGCCATCCCTAGCATTTCATCATCCTCCAAAGTATCCCCAGATTATCTCATTTCCATATAACATGCAATGGACTCATTCTCTCAACTTGACCTAGGAATATCCCAAAAGGGCCTTGTGGGGTGATCTGCAAGATAAAGGTGTTGAAGAGTGGGGGGAAATGATTAAAAGAAATAGAATATGAAAGGATCTTTTCCCTTCCTTCTAGATTGCAGAGGTTAAATGATGTCTCCATGCAGTACCTACCTGATGGAGATGCTAATACTTATAAATTCCAGTGCCCCAGGAAACAGCCTGACAGACAGGCTTCTGCCCCAGGGGTCTCAACTCGAACAATGTCCAAGGGAAAAATCCTTGTGTACGCCGTCTCCTTGGGCTCAGTCCACCAGTGTGGAAGATAGTAGCAGACTTTTACAACTTGACCAGCTTAGAGGGCTATACACGCATCCCAAAAGCTCATGCATTAGAGGCTAATGATTTCAATTAAAAAAAAAAAGTAAGATTTTGCATTTTGTTTAAGTCAGAGAGAAAGGAAGAAGTAACGGGGACAAAGAGCTTCTTAAAGGATTTCAAAAAAGAATTGGAAACAATCCAGATACATTAGCTCAAGTAGCAACTAGTAAGAATGCTGTAAAAATGAGATAAATTCAACACTGTTCCTTCTAACTCAGGCACCAGGGTTTATGCTTGGTGAGTTCCTACTATCCAATCAGACCTCCAAGGTCACACTTTCTGTTTTTGCATACAACAGAATGCAAAATTTACACAGAACAAGCTCAGCTGCTAAATGGTTAAGTCTGCTCTACTGTCTGGCCACCAGTTGGCAACACAAAAATGCAAAATAGATCCTTTTCAGGATGTTTATTTTCACATCCTTCCGAAACTGATAACTTGCAATTGCAAAATAAACCTTCATGTGTGGCATATTAGCTCCCATTTTTCATGGTTTCATAGTTTAATTGTTTCAAACGTTACACTGGTCTAAAGATTTAATATTAAATATGTTGGCTCTTGTGTAAATTCTGTTGTCAGGATAAACGGTCTGTTTTCTCTTTCAATGGTTATCCGAGAAGCTCACAGTCAAGCTGGAAAAATATTATGCTGAATTCCTGCAAAGTGATCTTTAAATAATTGCTTATCATAAATTTAGTAGTAAGGATGATAGTAGTTTTATTTCCTTAGTATCAAATATTCAATAAACTGTGGACATTTTGGGGGAGGTAATACAGTAGCAGTTTGCATTGAAAATTTTGCAGTAGCCTGACTGTAATTTATTTCTGCTGTGATTTGTAAAGTTATACTTGCCAGTGTTACAACTAGGACAACTTCACTATTATTTCAAGCATCAAGTATTGTAGTTATCTTACCAACATAGATATTTCAATTTTCAAACTTAGGACTCTGAACACTTAGCAGCAGGTGAAAAGTGCTTCAGATGTTTATAGTGGGGGATTCTGGAAACATGTAAGAAGGTCACAAAGAATCACAGCTCAGAGGTTTCTACATTCTCCATCTATTCACTAGGGAAAATGTGTGTGTTTTGCTGAATGACAGAGAACAGCACAACAACTGGAAAAATAAGTGCTTTGTTCTGTAGACCTCGAGTATTAGTCTATAATGTTTCCTTTTAAACTTGCTTTCCTTTTGAAAAGGATTAAAACAAAAACGTATGCTGTTTCCACTTTGAACTGTCACAATTAGGTTAACTATACTCCTGACTCACACTAAAAAAATGAAATGTAATTATGAACAAGAGCACAGTAGAGACAGATAGATTTAGCCCCCCTTTCCCATCAAATTTGGACTTACAGTATGTTTTGTCAGTTAAGAAAACCCCTAAGTCTCACTTTCTTTCTGGCTGCAAGGGATTTATACAGTTTTAAGTGTGAATTAAAACCAGTACAAGGACTACCTCTGACTTGACATCCTTCAGGAAGGTCCTGTAATTAACTCTGTTCTTTAGCTGTGAAATTGCCCAAGACCACTTGAGACAGAGTGAGACATTACCTTGGCAGAAAGAGATAAGTTAAGAAGGAGGGTTAGCCTTGGCTCTGAATTACCTCGGCTGTGGGAGCAGGTACAGATATTAAAACAAACTCAAATGTTATTTTAAACACAGTTATCTCTATTTAACTATTTCCCACAAAAGCATTGCTATGTAAATAGATTCTAGTCCTTTATCTTAACAAATATCTATAGTGGATTTTACAGACTAAACTCAGTTAATGATAACAAAACTACATCATTAGTACAGTCTGTTTTTTTCTGCTAAAAATTTATTCTCTTGTGAAAAGTACTGCAGCAGGTCAAGGTGATCTTCTGTCCTCCCTCCTGCAATTTTGCTATTTGTTACTTTAGTGTGGTTCTTAGTGTCCATTAGCTGAAGGAAACTCAGAAAAATAATCTCAAGAGGAATTTATAGCATTCTGAAAGGGTATAGAAATAGTCACAGTCACAAGCCTATGACTGGATAACAAAAACCTGCTGTTTTTGTAAAAAAATCACCCGTCACAAAATTCCCACAAAAATCCCAAAGCCTTGCTTTGTTTAGCAAAACTGGACTGTGTATACAGCACGATTCCCACATATCTACAGATTAGTTTGGATTTTCCTTGCACAACTACAACCTTGAGCCAGAGCAACGCAGAGTATTTCTGCAAATATACAGGTTTTGAAGTGAACCATGTTTCTTTGTGGAAATCCTGTGCATTCCTATGGCCCACATGCATTTCTCATATACCTTAAAACAAGCATCAGAATTTCCTTGATTGACACAAGGACAGCACCATAGAATCTCACAATCCCACTCTATCAAACTTTGTAATTTTTGAAGAATTAAATCAAATAAATTTTAGATAAATCAACAGGAGTTTCATTTTAACAGATACTACATGAAGCTTTAATGAACCTATCCAAATCATTCAGAGAAATGGATATAGCAAGCTGTTATTTTAAACAGTTGTCAGTAGCTCAAGATGGTAAAAGCATGCCCAGCATTTTGGGACGGGATCTTCTTTCCACCATCACTTTAGTTTTACCTGTTTGCTTTCTGGAAAAATAATTTTTAAGGCACTAGAAGGCACTCACACTTCTGCTTTCATTCCCTCTCAGTTTAATGGCCCATATCCTTCAAAATCCCTATCTGAAGCTATAACATTAAGAACCTAAGAATTGTAAGAAAAGATGACAGCTAAAAGCTATCATCTTCCATGCCCAGTAAAGCTTGTACCTCAATAAAATGAGCAAAAAATTCTGGAGGAACCATAATGGATAGAATTTATCTTAAAATTAGAAAATAGGTAGTAATAAAGTGCTACTATCATCCATTATATTTCTTAAATTTAATTTGCAATATGCACTGCAAGTAGTGATTCTATGAGTGTTTAAAAAGTGTGACAGCAAAAGGTTTCTTCTTTTTCAGAAAGGTCTCACCCAGCGGGACAGAGAGAGAGCACAACAAGCAAATCCCAAAGGCAGAGAGAGCGGTTTACTTGTGGAGGCCGGCTGGGCGGTGTGCTTATGAGAGGCGCCGGGCCCATCGCAGAGGCTGCGTTCAAGCTCCTTTCCCTTTCGTCCTGGTAAATTCGATCTCGTTCTGCTTCTGGCAGCTGCAAGAAGTTCTGCATAGCCCGAAGGTTTACCAGCAAGGACTGCGAGGCAGTCTTGGGATCCTCTTCTTTTCGGAGGATTTCTGAGAGCAAGCCCTGTAGGAAAGAAAAAAAAATAGGCTCGAAAGTTAGCCTAGGTGAGTGGCTGTAAAACCATGCTCTGCAAAGCCACGCTTATTAGTCCTCATTCTTCTTACCATGGGCTGGGAATTAGAACAGCAAATGCACAGTTCATTCCACATAGCAGTATATTAATGGCATTTTAGGTAGCAGAGAAGAGAGCCTCAATTGTACCCTTAATTTTATTAAGCACCTGTTTTAAATGCAACATAAACTGAATCACCCTAACAGGTCTTCCTCCTTTTATTGGCTTAACTTGCCATGATATCTTTCACAGTCCACAGATAATCACGAGACGTTAAGGATAAGTGAGATACACTGGGGGGTTCTCAGGCTTCACAGGCAAAATGCATACCCAACCTTAAAAATAGGCTTTCCACATTTCTAGCAACTTAAACAGATCTTTGAAAGGATGTGATATTTCACAACTAATCTGAGACTATAAACTTGCAACGTTCCTAAAGTACTGCTTCACTGACTCAGGGCCATATTTTTTATAAGTTAATATTTCTTTCTAAGAGTTGCATATTGGAGTTTAACAAGTGAGGAAACTCATTGAATGCCCTCATGTTCTGCTTTCTTCTTGCACCTTCCCCTCTCTTCATCAGGACAACCCTAATACTAAAAGAGTCCATTGCCTGGGATATTTATATTTAATGTCAACAGGTTCTTGACATCTCCTCTCCCTGCCAGATTCTCCTTTTAAATACATCGGGGATTCAAAATGCTCTGCTGTCTTGGAGTAACAAGATGGTGATAAGAAAGATAACTTTTGGAAAAGCAGATGTGAACTACTACTTAGAATAAATATTGTTGCCATGCTGGGAAAGAGAGAGGATTGGCATGGGAGGCTCTTACTTATAGTGTAACAAGGGAACACACATGAATTTCAAGGAATAAGATAACCCAATGTTTCTTTTCCTAAAGAACTGTTGTAAGTTATTCAGGATAATGGAGGGGTAAACAGAGAGAGGGAAGCAAACAATAAAAAGCTAAAACTAAGATAGGCAATACTGACTGAGTATATATATTCCTAAAATGGTACAAGAGAATGATATGGCCAAGGGAATCTTTTTAATGCCCACAGCACCTATGGCAGTTGTGGGCCCCAAAAGGGCAGCTGACCTCTCTCAAAGGTCTTATCTTATCAGGCAAAAGACCCTTAGGGAGGTGCTGCTGCAAAGCCACTGCTCTCAAGCAGTTGTGCTTAGGCAGGACCAGGGCCCACCCAGCACGGGTGTGAGCTCTATACTTCCCTGCTGGGCAATGAGGACAGAGGTACCAACCACTACACCTCAGCCTGTGTGGTCCTCATGGCCCTGTCTGTGCCTGCTCATGGTTTTTTTGGTGGTTTTTTTTTTTTTAACCAAACAATCTTTCCAGCATTAAGCATGAAAAATATTTCAGAGGAGGAGGATAGGGAAAAATAATCTTGGGTGATTCTTTCTTACCACTTTTCAGGATCCCTTCTGTTTTTTGGTATCCAGGCAGAAATTTCTCAGAAAGTAAATAAACAAGTTACTGACAAAAGTGGCATTTGGGTGATGTTTTAAATTTTTTTCTTAATGGTTAGTCTAATAATAAATTTACTTATTAGCAAACATGGAAAATAAATTTGTGTCTATCACTTTTTTGTATTTTTAAGTACTCAAACCCACAGTTTCCAATATTTGTTAGTGGTAGGGTTACACAGTCCACCTCAAGAGGAGGTACAAAATGATATTTTTCTACTGGAGACAAGGCAAAGCAGTCTGCAGAGCACGGGATACAGAGAACATAATAGAAAAAATTGGGTTGGAAGGGACCTTTAAGATAATTCTGTCCATCCATTAATCGTGCACTGCCAAGCCCACCACTAAACCATGTCCCCACGTGCCACATTTGTATGTCTTTTAGATACCTCCAGGAATGGTTATTCCACCACTTCCCTGTCTGCCTGTTCCAGTGCTGGACAACATTTTTGAAGAAGAAATTCTTCCTGATATCCAATCTAAACATCCCCTAACATAACCTGAGAACATTCTCTCTCACCCTGTTTCTTGTTACTTGGCAGAAGAGACCAAAGCACACATCATTCATCTCCTTATAGGTAATTGTAAACATGTGTGATTTCTGACTTTCTGTGCTGGAGACACCTCTCCATGAAAAAATGAGCAAGAAAAACTAAACTCAAGTGGACTGATCATTGTCAGGAGAGAAGACTCCTTTACAAACAGCCACCCTACTGTCAGCCACCCGAAATGTCCTTAAAAAGTACTTTAGCCCATAACAGAATATATTTGCTTGTATAAGCCTTAGCCACATAGTGGGCAGCTAAAAAAAATAGAAAAGGCTGGTTTTCTTGTATAACTTCTCCCCCTTCAGTGAAATAAGTAAACAAAGAAAATGCTGTTAATTTTTTTTTTAACATTTGCCTGCATTTCCACTGCTGTAGGACACCTCTTGGTGATTAGAAATGCCACTAAGTATTCATTCTCCTCTCTTCCCCAGTCACTGTCATGACTCTTTGAGCTGGGAGCAGAGCAGACCAGAGGACAGCAATGCAGGCAGAAGAGGGGAGAGGAAAGAACAGGGAGAAGGCAGGAGTTTGCCTCTAGGCTCTAAACCTAAAGGTCAGAGTATGTGAGGAAAACCCATGGAAACGAAGATGTAGTACCAGGTGCAGGCAGACAGAACATAGTTTGCCTGCTACACATATTATTTCATTGTTACTACTTCAATTTTTGAGCACAAAACTTTAGCTAAAAGTTGTTAGACAAGATGTACCATGGGAAAAATCCTAGAAAGAAAATATTGGCTCTCACATTCTGACCTGTGCTGATGTGCACAGATAAACTGTCCATTTTACCAGGCTTGAACTGGTTTTTCAAGGTACTAGTCTTGGTGAGATCTCCTGATACTGTACCTCAAATTGCATAAAAACTAAGCTTGTTTTCCAAAGAGATTATAAACACTCTTAGGCTCAGAGCCCTCATCACTGTTCCTCCCTTGTATTCTCTTTGCAATGGAAATGTATTTTTTTTAAATATTCCCAGGTTTCCATTGAAAAAAAAAAGAAAGTTTACATGTCATCACAAGTATAATTCATTACTAATGGCACAAAAATGTTCAATAAATATTATCAAGGCTTTCAAAAGCTCATTACAAATTCTTTAAAAATGGAGATTAATTAAAGTGTCTGCCAATATGAACAAAAACACTGCCTGTCTGGCCCCCAGTTTGTCTCCTCCTTGAACATAATCACTGATTCAAATAGATTTTTATCAGTGCGATAGAACTTCAAAGCTTTCAGAAGAAACATGCAATTTGCCCAAAATTCCCAAAACACGCAGAACAACCCTGAACACTATCTGTCTTGGTTGCAGGGCCTTCCTATCCCATGTCCAGGTGGAAGATTATTCCCAAACTCCACTCCCAAGCCTGGACCCTAGCCAAGTAAGTTATAAGCAGACACATTTATCTCTGTCGCTTAGTAGCAAGAGGAGAGCTGTCATGATAGTGTAATAGCACCTTTTTACCTTTTATTCAATAGTGATATGGATAGTGTACTTTTTCTTAAATTACACTATGAAGAATTATATGAATACAGTGGCAATTTCTGTTATACTTAAGCAGGCAAATTTCTCTCTACCACATAATTTACAGAACTCAAATTCAATAAAACATTACATGATGGTCCATTACTGTTATCAATTTTAAATAATCCATCTTCATTTTTCATTTTACTGGAAAATAAAGTGTGCCAAAGACAAAGTGGAAGGAAAAAAAAAAAAAGTAGTGCCTGGGAAGGTGGCTTGTGTAAACTTAGATTTTGTTTTACAATTACACAGAGCCGTTTAGTGCATCCAAGCATTCTCCTTCAAAATAGCATTTGCCCAGAATTAGCATGAGCACAGTCCTAAATACACAGAAGTTTTCACATATGAGAAAAGGCATTATACATGAATGAAAGGCAGTACGTCCTGGCAGCTAATATTTTAAACAAGCATGGAGCTCAAGTAGAAAGAAGGGAGAGAAAAAAGTGAGAAACACTGAGAAATATTTAAAAACCTTCGGATCAAACACTGTCACTTGTGGGAAAAAAGAAAACTACCAAAATTCAGAGACGGAAAAGCAGCAAAAAGCATTCTTCCTTCTTTCATAAAGACAGAGCCACGAGGTCACCTCTGTATAACAGCACCCAAGTCCCTGCAGCAAACCTTACAGCTGAAAGTGTACACAAACAGAGACAGGCAGCCCCCAGTTCCAGTTCCAACCACAGCCATGACTAACATAATTCCTCGCTCGCACAGTGCGGGCTCGTCACCCCGCCGTGCACCAGGCTAAGCTGCACCTTCCAGTCACATGGCAGACTGTGGGAACTCAAGCTTTTCGCTTCCTGACTCATGCTAACATTTAGAAACACACAACACAAATGGGAGAGGAGTTTATTTATTTGTTTAGAGTTCTGAGGGCAGTTCAGCCCAACTAATGTTGATGTTGTACTCCAGCTTTAAGAACAAAACAGAGTAGAGGAACTCCCAGTTTAGTTTAATACTTGAAACAGCAGACGGAGCTTCTCTGCTGACAGAGGCCTGTGGCACCACACTTCAGGGGGCTACCCCAATGCATCTTCACTGTCACCCTGGCTGCTTGGGGCTACCCAAGGCAGCAAACTGACCACAAATACCATTTTCTAGCCTGCAAAGCACAAGAAAATATGGAAATTGCTCTTTCAGGATAGTAGAGGTATCTGCACAGGTACAGTGCATTGACATCAGCTAAAACAAAATATTATATTTATTAATTTGATGAACTGGCAACTGAAACATAAGCGTCTCAATTCACCAAAATTATCCTGGCAGACTAGTGACCTTTGGACACCTTGCTTGAGGTGAAACTCAGATCTGCCAGCACAAGTAATAACTCAACAAAGTTTTCCACGGTGCACTGAAAGTAGGTGCTAACAGGATTCAACCTGTTCCTTGCATCCAGTGAGTTGGAATCACAATTGCTCAAGGACAAGCAAAACTTCAGATTCTACTATATGTACTCTGAAGACTACCTAGATGGACTATAGAGAAATTCCTCCCACCAAAACTTCTTCTGCTCCCTGTATCAGCTGTCCTATTGTGCCTGTATAGATGAGAAAGTTACAGGTATCTGGACCTTGATTAAAGTTTACAAGGCACATTCCCAAGAATTCAGTTTTGAAATTACCATTTAGAACTTAAGGGTGGGAGGAAAATTATTCAAGAACACATTAAAGTCACACTCTTTCTTAAGGACGTACTTCTAAGGTGTAGCTAAGGGGTTTTTTTCTGCTTTATAGATAATTAGTAATAGTAAAAAAAAAGCATGCTAGTTCTCAGAAGTATCTTTGCCAAATCCTTGGATTGTGGAAAGATAGAAATATTTCTAGTTGACATTTGTGTAGAAATTTCCAACCCAAAATTCTCTACAAATTCTGTATTCATATTGTAGAGCATAAGTCTGAAAAACAAAAGCATCTTCAGCCAATTTCAAAGTCCATTTTATTGCCTAAACATTAAGCTAAATAACTTTCAATTGTAGATTGCTTCCTTCCTTAACTTTTACACTGAAAGCAAATCTCTCTCCTCATCTGAGACTGTATCTTGACACCAGGGTTTTCTTGCACCGAACTCCTAACCAATTTCAGCAAGTTCTTACGCCTTTAGAAATTGATGGCATGATATGGTCCCTGGACACAGCTCAAATATGCTTATGACAGTTTCAAAAATGTCAGTGGTAAGCCTGAGTTAGCTTTCTATTTCAGAAAACAGAGCATGAATTTCAACAAGCATTTTCACTTTTCTAGCAAAAAAAAACCAACAAAAAAAAACCTTAGGATATTACATCACTATTAGAAAACAACTCCTCAACTGCATCAGTTATCAAAGTACTATCCAAATTTTAGCTCAGTGAGATGTATCCTTGAATAAGATGTGAGGAATTCAGAAAAACAGCAAGTAGAACAAATTTTTAAAGTTTTCATGTAAAAATTGCTGGTACCTGTGTTGACCCGTGGATATTAGCTGTCACTATGGGTAAAATTACCTATTTCCAGGTTTGTAAAGGCGAAATGCACCCACAACAAACTCCTCTGTATTTCAGTGGGGCTTTACTTCATATGAAAAGTATGCTGAGATATTTCTTGGCAAAATTGAGGTTGATACTCTCTCTTGTCTCCTAGTATTTCTCCTTTCTGCTCCTTATGTTTGTCACAAAACAAATACTGCAAAATCTTACCTAGCTAACTGCAGATACTAACTTGATTACCAGAAACAATTTGTAGGATGTAGGAATACTACTCTGTGTTCTTCCAAACAGATTTGACTGAAAATTGACAAAATATATAGGTGTATTTCATATCATTTCAGGGGAATTGTTTTCAATGTTAATTTTGGTGTTTCCTCCCAGTTCTGAGTCACTCTCAGCACATTTTACCAAGCTGGTTAACCACAAAGTCTGGAAAAGAACTGAAATTTAAACAAATATTTAATAAAATTGTAGTAAGAAAAATACACAGCAATACATATTTTAATATATATTTACTGTAATAATACTAATATTAAAGTAAAGAATCAGTATTTGCACTAGAAATCTTTTTCTGCAATTGCATTCATCACATCATATTTTCTCCTAATCTGTCATATAACTTCAGTGTCCACTGAGAACTAATCATCCTTGTATTTCAGGTAACAAGTACTGCTTATGTACAAAGAAAATGCCAAAAGCTTCATGCAAAACTAGTTGGCAAAAACTGACCACTTCAGAGGGGGGAAAGTTTAAATGTGTGCTTTTAGACAAACATGAGAAAGAAGTAAATATAAAATAAACTTTATTTTCTGAATTACTTGCTTGGCTTTTTTGTCCAGGTAAGATGGCAGCTGCAAGCCACTGTAACATGAAGCTACTACTATTGCTTTCATACTTTAGAGTATTAATAATTAAATTTTTAAACACTGTATGAAAGAAGACTCACTTATTTGTACATATAACTAACACTGCCTGAACCTAACTTAATGTAAGTAATCCTTGCATGAGTTCACGTAAGCCATGAAATTTGGTATGAAAGGCCCATATCCTGAAAACCTCCTCTGCTGTAAAGAGGAAAGACACATACACACACAGAGCCCTACAGAGAATTCACACAATGACTCTACTTTCTTTTAGCTAAAGGAGGATGTAAAATATTGTAAGGCAATAGTAATTCAGAACAATTATAAATGACATGCTGATTCAAACCTGCACCAGAGCATATGAAACAGAATTTTTATTCTCTAAGCTATGCAGGGAGAAACAAAAATGTTTCAAGAGAAGCTCAAATGATGAAATTTTTTGTTCTACTATAATCTACAATGGGCAAATTGTTCCCAAAGCACATGTTTTCATTTAAAAATAGGGAACCCAAAGCAAATTTACCTATGTCTTTTTAAAATATTTCCCATTTTACAAAGTTCTGTTAAAAATATTTCATTTTGTGTTATGAGATACTTCTAAAATTTTGAGATCTTATTATTTGCATCCAATATACTGACATTTCTTCCATAATTTCTGCTTGATTAAATTCCATGCAACATGGCATTAAGTTAAATTCATAGAGCAGAATAAATTATAACAGGGTTAGCTTCTAAAACAGGTGTAAAAAATAACACATTTTAGTGTTACTTATCAGCTTTGCTAGGGCTGGCTTTTTCTGCATTGAAGAGCTGAAGTATATGTTCTGACGTGGACACCGGCAAGATCAGCAACTACTGTTTTTGCAACAAACTACAAAAATACATGAAGAGAGTAGATGATCTAGAGATAAAGCATTTAATTTTTAATCTCTTCAGAAGCCTGAAAAGATGCTATTAGGACTTTCACTGGGAAATAATAAAAATAAATGCAAGTATAGATAAAAGACCATCTCCAGTACACCTGTGAAAGAAGCCAGGTTGTTCAGTGCGTGCAGGTGGTCAGAGCGGGTACAACTCTACAACACAAAAGGCAATCTGTTGGGTGACTTTGTGAATGGCTCTGCATAGAGATGTTCACTTCCTTTACTGGGAAATTCAGCTATTCATAAAGCATCACAAGTGGAGAGGAACCATGCTTCCTGTAAGAACAGTGAATATTTCCACAAACCAGTCCTTGAGGATTTCAGTACTGTATCAACATGGACAGTGATCCTGTAAGAAAGCATGGTTCCTTCAGAGGAGCTAAGTGACACGGTAGAAATGAGAAGACAGACTTAGAAGATGGCAATTACTAATTAGAGAGAGAAAGAAGGGACTCTTAAACTAAAAAAAAAAGAGAAAAAAGACGACTGACCTGAGTTCGGTTAAAAGCCACGCGTGCAAATACTGCCTGTGAGATTCCTGCTCGTTTCAATTCATCACGGACCCACTGGTAGATTTCGGAAGACACCTCTGTGTTTGTTGAGACCTGCTGCTCCAACGGCTTGTTCATGGATCTACTGACAGGAGGAGGGTGGTTCAAGTACTGTTGGTTTAAGGACTGCTGGGCTAGAAGTCTGTTCACTGCATACTGCTGGTTCAGCAACTGGGCCATTACCAGCTGCTGATTTACCAGCTGAGGGCTAATGGGAGTAGATACAAGTCCAGGGTGCAGGTTTGGAAGCGGGGTCCGAACTGATGGTTGACTACCATGAGAAAGCTGAACAGGAGATGGAGGCTGTTCGGCTGTGTTCCCTGGGACTGGCTGCTGACCGAAGTTGACATGGTTGGCACCTTGCTGGGATAGTTCAGAAAGGCTATCCATCTCAACTACAGCAGAAAAGAAACATTGAAAAGGCCAACATCAGACTGAAAATCACAACCTTGACTGTCCTCACAAGACATGATAATAAAAATAAACAAGTGTAAAATGGTGCAATGCAACTCAACCATGAGCGGGTTGCTGCATCCCACTGTGACAGACACAGGGAACTTCAGACAAAGCAATAAACAACTGGAGATGGGGCATAGACAAGAGACAAAACCCCACTCTGTGCTGCAGATGATGCAGGCGAAACAGCAAGTGTATCTGTGCAAAGGGTAAGGAGGGCTTTTGTGGGAAAACATGTCCCAGCCGGAGAGACAGAAGCGCCTGGTGACTGGTTTTGCTCCTCCCATGAGGTCCCTGCCATGACATCTGCAGTTCCCAGCCACTGGAAATCTGTAATAAGCAGGGTGAGGTGCAGACCTCCCTATGCTCTGCTAATTTCTAGATGCTGCATCAATTGTATGGGACTGCTAGGAACTAGTATAATTTATGTAAATTACACAGATGGGCTGCTTTATCTTGCAACCATGTATGCATGGTTTTTTTCAGTGACTTGCAACATGGTTGAATTTTTTTCTTATATTAACTCATCTGTCTTTGACACACCCTCCTTTTTAAATAACAGCACAGTTTTTTAAACTACAAGAGTTCTTCCAGTTCCCCTCTTGTGCATGATTAAACAATATAAAATAACTCAAGGGTGATATGAAGGAGTCTCCTTTTTATCAGCATTTGTAACTTTTTTTTATTCTAGAGCTTTAGCAGCTCTGGTCTGGAAATAGCCTTAAGCAAATAAGCTTTATTTAAAAACCAAAAGTCCAGTATTTTCACAAAATTGTTGTAGCAATTTTTTTTTCTTATACTATAAGGCTTTTTCATTTTCAAGGCAGTATCTGAGCTTGTCACAGTAGTTATGATCTTCACTAACAGTCATCAGTGCAAGGCCACCCTTTCCTCCACAAATATCAGATCTAGATGAAGAAATTGGCACATGGATTCTCACCTGCATCCCCATCTTCCTCCCCTGTCTTATCATGGGCAGAAATTTGATAAATAAAAAGCAAGCCGGTTGTTCTGCAGAAAGTTCTGGTGTCTATAGCCTGGATCAATACCCAAGCAGAGGCTCTGCTACCCCTCACACAGGTGGCTTTGGGAGCAATACTGCCTCTTCTGCCAGCATCATTTTACACAAGAATACATAAACACACATTTTCTATTCACTGGCTTCACTGACTCCAAGTGAATGGAAGAGGAACCTGTCTTGGCAGACCGTATAAATAAAATTTTGCAGGGATTGCCCCATACATGACCACTGATGCAAAGGATGTGGGAGAGGCTGATGTGGAAAGGTCACTCTGCCCATATGGACACTCTGCTGCCTCACATATGGACCACCTGAAACCAAGTGGACTCTTACCACTAAATTTGGTGGTCTCAGAAGAAGGGTTCCATGTAGCACAGGAGGTACAAAGCAGATTAAGGAAAGAAGCTGTCTTTTTTCACTCAGGGAAAGTAGAGATCAACCCAAGTGGGCCATTCACTCGGAACAGTAATTCAAGCAATTATCACAAAAGTGATGCATTGTCTTCATTACAGCCTTAAGCTATAAAAGGCAAGGAACCCGTTTGGGTAGATGAGTGATTTTGCCTCAAATACTGAAAGCTAAGTCAAGCTCAAAATTCAATCCAAATTGAGGTCCTATTTCTCCATTCTGTTGAAATCTATGTAGAAATTTTCTGACATAAAGTGTTCAAAATTATGTGAACAGGTTTAAGAAAGATAAAAGGTATCACAGAATTGATAGATTTTTTTCTCCAAGAATATACTTGTGCTTATTACAAGAAGCAAACAATTGTCACAACCACTATTTGCTAAAATTAATTGAAATTAGGGTCCCAAGGTTAGAGAAAGATTTGAATTTATAAAATTACAGCATTCTTGCTGGAAGCTAGTAATAGCTGTAGAAGCCTGTTTCTTTAAATATACATTAGCCAGCACGAGAAAAAAAATACATACATTAAAAAATCAGTTCGTCACAGTTCCAGGAACAGGTTTTCTAAACAATTATTCTGGGTGGTAGAAGATCTCTAGATTTACAGAATGACAGCTTTACATCTCTGGCAACCCAAGTCAGCTTGGCTGTTTCAATAGCAAATATTTATTTAAATGAATTCTTTCACTATATATGTACTTTCTACATCTACTCATCAAAAGCATCCTAAACTTATCGTGAAGGGAACTGGCTTCTTATATGACTGTGACAGACCTCAATGTGACACATAATGGTATGTAACCACCATCAAGGCAATTTTTTTTTTTTGCTTACCCATCATATCTTTTGCCTTCTTGAAATGTTTATACCACCTTCCAAATTCCTGACATTTTGCTGCTGAGACATTTGCATAGTAAGTGCTGTTCACAATGGAAGAAATCATACTCTGTGTGAAAAGGGGAGAAGAAAAAAAAATCTGTAATACAGAGCAGTACAAGTCAAAGCACAAATTATTTCAATTGTTGAACCAATATATTTTTATAGTTTGAGAACCGTGTTGTATTTTAAATTCTATCATCCAAAGCCTTTTAAAAAACTCATTAATTGAGCATGAAAACAAACCAAGGTATATTGTAAATGGGAGCAAAAATAGCAGATGTACTAAGGGAAGAACAAAGTTATCGACCAAGAAACATCATGCAATGGGATGGGCTCTGGACAGAAGACGCTAATCTTGAAAGCGAATTTTGTTCATCCTATTTCTGCTTTTAAATTTGATTGACCCTTCACACACCCACACAGGCATGTAATTCCTACACTGCCATTACAAATGCAAGCAAGTGACCCAAGTTACCCATGTCCAGCTCCTCTGTGCCACTTATCACACAGTAGACACAAAAAAATCATAAGATAAAACTTTATCTGAATGACCTATGAACAGGATAAAATATGGGGTTTATAGCAGAATAAAATATGTATCTAATAACCCAAGATGAACCCTTGCTTTTCCAAAACAGGGTATTTTAAGTGATTTGCGAAAACAGGCTTATGAAAAGCTTATTGTCATGTCTAATTCTGTAACTGAATATTAGCTGTAAAATAGACCAAAGGAAGATCAAGATGATTTTTTTCTCTAAGGTTCTCGAGATATCAGATAGCTACAGTGAGAAATTTACCTTCTGCTCAGTTTTGACCAATTTTAAAATAGTGGAATTTACAATGCATAAAACTTTCAGTTCCAGTACATTCTTTCACAAATCAATTAAGACTAAGCCTTGCGAAATGAGATAATGCTCCAACTTGAAAATTCTACTCAGTATATGATGTATGAACAACAAAATTAGCAAATATAATTTCAACAGACTGAACTTTGCCACCCTTTAAATTTCTATGTGGAAAGTAGTTACTTTTGGCTTAACTACAAGAATTGTCCAGTGTATCAAAACAGCAATGACAGTCAAGAAGACAAAGCCTTGATTATTACATTTTTTCCCTATTCATCATGTAACGTTTAGATATATTTGTGCTGTCTGAAGAATCATTTAGAGCATCAACCCTTTGTTACACCAACTACAGTAGCCACTGGAAGGAAGAGCCCGGAGTAAAAATGCAAAAAATTGTTACTTTAAGTTCTTTTAAAAGGCTAGTTCAATTTCTGACTAAAAGTACCGTCCTTGCTGATCTTAGTGAAGTTCATTATAACCATTTTCTAAGGCATTGCTCAGTAGCAAGCTGTTCATGGAGGCTAAGAACTGCTAGAGTGAGGCAGCATTATTTATGCCAAATGTGGATATCCCCTACCCAATACGCAGGTATTTTAATGTTTCTCCCAATCACCAAAATTCTTGCCATTTCTTGATACTAATCTGGCATTTCTGAAACTAGCTGGAGGTCTTTTGTCAGTGGTATAAAGGGAGAGTGAAATTTTAATAGACTACCACAAGTCTAGCCTGAATAACCGGAAACAAGATCAGCTGATACCAATTCCAGTTTCCAGTATAACAGCAGTATACTTAAGGTTTAATATGTATAAAATTATCTTTAAGCTCTTTTATAGATTAAACCACCTTAAACATGGGCACATGATACATAAGTTGTGATTTTAAAAGTGCTGTGGATCTACTGGCAAATTATATGACTGCACAGACAACTGCAGAAACTGCAGATCTGTATGTGCAAAATGGGGAATTGCACCTGTCAGAGGCCATCATCCCACATCAGCTCATGTGTATTTTGTAGATGTCATTTAGACTTCAAGGTGGGTTTCTCTTATTTTACTTTGCCCCTTTCAGATGTGTTTTCCTGCCCAACTAACTTAAAGTATGAAAACACGTATATTAATTTTAGTAAATTACCTATTATTGAAGACGTTTGTCTAAGATTTCCTAGTGCTCCCTTCCATGTCATTTTACAAAAACAATACACAAATGGCATGGCAGTTTGCAACACATCCCCTGATTTTTCAGGAATATTTAATGCAGTTACTTTACAACCAAATAGAGGACTGGTCTGTTTAAGAAACACTGCTGGGAGTTTTAGCTTCTCTGACACAATGTGAATTTCAAGCTTTGATGGCTAACACTGTGATGTTACTCCTGCTCTTCAAAGTAGATTTAAAAAAAAAAAAGACAGACATTATAAACACATTTAAAAATGAAAATTATCCTGCATTTTCTTTGAGAACACTTCATGCAAACATTCAAGTGATATTACCTACGCTAAGAATCCTCATCAGGAGGAATCAATGATTTATTTACTAATTCACTGAAGGCAAAATTTTACAAGCCAGATAAAATATTATTACCTTGTTAACTCAGAAAATATCTTGACAACACTGAATTTCATTGTTTCTATTCTTTATTTATTGTCATCAAATGTGCAGTCACATCAGTGCAGAGAGATGCATTTAGCTATAGAAATTTCCTGTTGCTATAGAATTCTTGTACATTTTAATGCCAATCTACATATATAAATATCTAGTATGCTTATGACCTAAAACTTAATATTAACCCCAGGAGTTAGTGGTCTTCAGAGGTTCACTGTCTAGACTGAAGGCATACTGATGCTTTTCATATTACCTGGGTCATTACAAATGAGGAGTTTCCCATGTCTTGAATTATCAATAATCAAAATTAAATTATTCTATTTGAAGCACATCATCTCCTGGTACTACTGCACATATCCTACTTATCCGTGAGGCACAGAGGCAGATGCCCTCCCCATAGAAGGATGACGACTATAAATACATATCATACAAATATTAAAATGCATCACATGCATCACTCATTATCAGACTTATTTTTCACATGTTGCAAAGAAAATTGAGAGAACACAAAAACTGGTCACAGATACACAATCTTAACTTATCTCCTTGTAGTTTATCCATGAAAGTAAGTTGTGAGCGTCCAAGATCTCAAATTTCCCTCTTTTCCCTCTCCCTTATCTCCCTTCCCCCAACCACATCACTTGCAGTCATGTTCTGAGAATCGGGAGATCTCATCTGAAATGGTGCCACCTTCACAGAAATCCCACTATTCTGGAATGATACCATCTGCTACAGCCCAAGTGCTCTTTTTTTAGCCAAATAAGTTAATTATAATTAGGCATCCAACAACTGTGTGAAGGTAGGGGTAGAATTTGTTCTGAGGTTCAGCTGAGGTTCACCCAGTGTAGATTGAACCAAATCCCATTTTCTCTGGAAGATTAAATACCAGAGATTAAATACCAGACACCATCTTTTTCTCAAAGAAGTTGGGGAACTCCCTGGGGAAATATCATAAATCTCAAGCAGGAATCGTTTCATATGCCCATCAAATAAAACCCAATAAAATGGTAGCATCAGACACCTTTTGTTTTGTGCCAGAATCTAATGCAAGGTGCATCCTGCAAGATACGGGAAGGACCCGAGCCTTTCATGCCGGCTCGTCGCTGCAGCCACTGCTGCAGGTGCTTCAAGGGAGGCATTTCTGAGTCATTGCCTCTAACACTGCTCTTCAACCAGGTGAAGTGTTGCTCGATCATCGCTAAAAGTATACTGTTGTCCTTTTTGCAAAACAACAAAAACAATGTTAATCAGGTTAATTCAATCATCTAAACCAAAACTGTTCATGCTTTTCTGCCAAATCAACCAACCACAGCAAAATCTGTTATCAGTGATTGCTCAGCTTCCAGTCAAAAAAGCTTTTAACCCCCACAGTCCCAAAACTTCCACTAAATAACCTTAAAATTATTTTTATATGGGCAGAATAAGGTTGTTTTCATGCCTCATGAAGGGGTACTTGGGCTGCAGTATTTACACAGAGCAAATACATGCTAACAGACTTAGGAGAGAGTAACAGACACAGCAGCTTCCTAGAAAAACTCGGCTGAATTAGATATCAGGGATTCCTTTGCAATTTAAACATTTTTCTCAAAAGAAGCACTGTAACCAAAACTTATTTAGGCCTTCCAGGTTGTTTAACTAGGAAAAAAAAAAGTGAGCTTTTTCGCAACTCATTCATTGGTGTTTAAAGCTTCAAGCCTGCTCAGTGGAAGGGGCAAGGGCTACAACAACTTATTTACACAATTATCTAAATACGATTAAACAGCTGATGGACAAATATTAAACTGGAAAATGTATAGTCATTTCAGCTTAATGTAATCCCCTTTCTGTAAACACCCAAGATGATTTTTTTTCAACCAGAACAGTCCTGACATCTCATAAGCCTAAGGGTGAATAGCAAGAGATTGTTTTTGATAGTTATAAATATTCAAAAGACATGCAGACCATCTGCTTTCATAATACAGGTAAAGCAAGACTGAAATGGTGACTGCTGTATAAAAATGGTTCTTTTAACAAAGTCTTCCTCTTCTCGAAAACTATAAAGACAGATGTCAAAAACTGTTTACACAGGGTAATCAGGAGCGTGCAAAATGTAATATTCCTTTTACACACAGTGCTTGCTAAAGAGATTTTTTTTTCTTTTTCTTCCCATCTGTGTGTTGCAACACATTTCTACAAGTTAAAAACATTTTTTCAAACAGAGATCTCATGAATACCCAAAAACATGCTATCTGGTTTCTGAATGCTAATTAATTTCAACTAAGGAATCTGATTTTTTTTTTCTGTAGAAAGGAATGCATGCTTTTGAAATGGAGTATTTCAACAATGACAGACACTGAAAACAGAACACCCCACAAGTTTAATTTTGCACTAGTTTGACACTGGCTATTTTCACAACTGTTTTACATTCAAACACGCATCTGCTAAATCTGGCTATAAGACAGGCAGCAACTATCCTCTCACTTTTCAAATGAGATTTTATTTACGTTTTACTATTTATCAAGTTTTTCAGTATAAAGCCTTGTAACAACATAATGGTTTTCTAAAGTGGTAAGTAGAAGATACCTCATCTTACAAGCAGAGTATGAACAGTGCTGCCCATAAACCCTACAGTCAAATTTCAG